TTATTTTGTTTTATTATTCTATTCCTTTGTTAATTTGACCGTAGTTTCCTTACTTTTTGTAGGTTTACTTTTTTTTTTTTTCAGATCATTAAAGATCTCCTGGTTAAGCCAGGGGGTTTCTTGCCATACTTCCTATCTTTCCTATGCAGTGGCATAGTTTGCTCTTGTGCCCTTAATAATGTCTCTTTGAAAAACTGCCAACTGTCGTCAATTGTTTTTCCCCTTAGACTTGCTTCCCATGGGATCTGACCTACCTACTCCCTGAGTTTGCTAATGTCTGCCACCTTGAAATCCATTGACTTTATTGTGCGGTTCTCCCTCCTACCATTCCTTAGAATCATGAACTCGACCATTTCATGATCACTTTCACCCAAGCTGCCTTCCACTTTCAAATTCTCAACCAGTTCCTCCCTATTTGTCAAAATCAGATCTAGAACAGCCTCCCCCCAGTAGCTTTCTCCACCTTCTGAAATAAAAAAATGTCTCCAATACATTCCAAGAACTTGTTGCATAATTTGTGCCCTGCTGTGTTATTTTCCCAACAGATGTCTGGGGAGTTGAAGTCTCCCATCACCACCAAGTCTTGTGCTTTGGATGATTTTGCTAGTTGTTTAAAAAGTCTCTTCTACCTCTTCTTCCTGGTTAGGTGGTCTGTAGTAGACCCCTACCATGACATCATCCTTCTTTTTTTATCCCTTTTATCCTTACCCAGAGAGTTTCAACAAATCTGTCTCCTATTTCCATCTCAACCTCAGTCCAACTGTATACATTTTTAATACCTAAGGCAACACCTTTTTTCCTGCCTGTCCTTCCTGAGCAAGCTATAACCTTCTATACCAATATTCCAGTCATGCAAATGATCCCGCCAGTTGCACTCCGAACTCCTTCACTCTTACTCCCAGAGCCCTGTAGTCACTTCTGATCTGCTGAGGGTCACACCTCGCAGTATCATTAGTGCCCACATGGATGAGTAGCTTGGGGTAGTAGTAGTCAGAGGGCCAGATCATTGACAGTCCCTCAGTAACGTCTCGGATACGGGCCCCTGGCCTGGCAGGCAGCATACCTCCTGGGATGCCATGTCAGGGTGACAGGTGCCTCCGTCCTCCTCAGACGAGAGTCTCCAACCACCGCTACCCTACGTTTCCTCCTGGGAGTGGTGGCTGCGATCCTCCCAGCCTTGGGGGTACATGGCTCCTCCTCCTCCAGTTTTGGGGGTGATTCCTCATCATTCATTGCCAGGGCAGCATATTGGTTTTCCATCACTGTGGTGGGTGGGTTGGGAGTAGGGGTGAAGCACTGCCTGCTGCCGGAAGTCACCAGCAGCCAGTGTCCTTCCTGTGACAGAGCCATGTCCTCCTCCCCCGGTGGTGTGACAGCAATCCTCTATAACTGGGTAGCGTCCTCACCCATGCATGTCTCCTTGTGAATACACTCGAGGAATTCCTCACGGGCACTGCTGCTCCTCAGCCCAGCCACCTCCTCCTGCAGCTCTGCCACCTGCTTCCGGAGCGATTCCACCAGCAGGCACCTCTCGCGCTGGATGGTCCCCCCAGCCTGGCTTTCTGCGAGTGGGAAATGCAGGCCACAGTCTCTGCTACTCCACACCGGGATCTGGGTAGAGGCATCCATGGTCGAGCTCTCTGTCTGGATATCGGCTCAGGTGGAGGAGACAGGAGCAGCGTTGGCACTGGCGATGTGGCCCTTCCTAACCATAGCGACTATATTACGTCTCCCTCCCACAAACTCCCCTGTTTGAGGTCCCCTGTTCCCTACCTGACTCCGTACGTGGCAGATGTAGGATTCATTGCAGCGTTGTAATAGTGGTATGGATACTGTTATAAACGGTCACCCCTGTTCCATCCAGCGTCACATCCCCCCCCGCACAGCCCACCCCCCAAGCCATGCTGGCCCCATGCGGACTGGGTGCTGCTGCCCTTGGGGGGCCCAGCCCCGCCATTCTCTCCCTTGACGTAAGGTATGGGGGGAGGCGTGTGCTCAGGGCTGGCTGGGCTCCTTTTGGGGGAGGGGAGCTGCAGGATGGGTTCCCTGTGACGCCCGCGCGCTCCGTCCCTTGCAGGAGGGGGACAGCGCGCTGCATGACGCCGTGCGGCTCAACCGCTACAAGATCATTAAGATGCTGATCCTGTGCGGGGCGGACATGATGGCTCAGAACCTGGTGAGTGGCTCCCGCTGCTGCTGCCTGGGCTGGAGGGGGCGGGCAGGGGGCAGCCCCCCGGGGTGGGATCACACCGCACAGAGAAGAGCCTTGCTTCTGTCGCCAGCGGGGGATTGGCCTTCTCTGGGGGGCAGAGCCTCCGTCCCCAGAGCCTGCAGTACACGGAGGGGTGGCAGGTCACGGCACGTCCCAGCCCCAGCTCCTTGCTGCTCCCCTCACGTGGGGCAGGAGGTCTGGCTCGTCTCACCCTCTGCCCCCTCCCTCCTCCCACAGGCAGGAAAGACCCCCACGGATCTGGTGCAGCTCTGGCAGGCAGACACCCGGCAGGCGCTGGAGATGCAGGAGCCTGGCGAGACGGAGGCCCCGGCGTGAGGGGGGGGGCGACGGGCTGGGCTGGGGAACGGGACCCAGCGGTGGGAATCTTGGAATAAAACCCAGTGAACGAGAGTCCGGCATCTGGCGCCAGCAGAAGCCATGTGGGCTGCAGGGGCAGGTGTTACCAGGCCGGGCCCGGGTCATCCCGTGGGGGGTGGGGGCGGGCGGTGCCCGGCCGGGTCGGAGTCGTCCCTCGGGGGTGGGGGCGGGCGGGGCCCGGCCGGGTCGGAGTCGTCCCTCGGGGGTGGGGGCGGGCGGTGCCCGGCCGGGTCGGAGTCGTCCCTCAGGGGTCGGGATGCTGGGCAGGGCTGCACCATTTTCTATCTGGATTCTTTTTCCTTGCGTTAATCCCATCCGAGGGGGTCGGCTGTACACACCCTGCGCCCCCCCCCAGTGCTCTGTTCAGTGCCAAACCCTCCGTCGCTGTGACATGCCAGGCACAATCCAGCAGGGTCACGTCTGCCCTCTAACCTGGGGGGCCCTTTGCAGTGCTTTGCTGCTGGAGCCCCACAAACAGCCCCACCCTGCAAGTCACTCCCAGGCTCTTGGGGCCTAACTTCACTAACTGTCAGGTTGCAGCGACGTGTCTCACCACAGGCTCTCCCTGGTCTCCCGGACCAACCCCTCTAGGTCAGGACCCTCCTCCCAGAATCCAGTGAATCCTCTGTTGCTTTAGGTGCAGAGAATCGCTGGCAGGGAGCCAGAAGGGTGCCTTGGGGTGTCTGCCTCTCCTTTGTATAGCTTGTCCCCCTTTCGAAAAACATTTCCAGCTGGGCACTGGGAGACAGAAAGTCTGTGGGGAAGGATGTTCCCTGCTGCGTTTTTCTCGCCTGTTGGAGTGTCCTTTGTTGCCCTTCCTGTTTGCTTAAATGCAAATGAAGTAGAGGCCACATTCCTTCGCTGGAGCCAGACCTGCTCAGTTTGGAACGTGTGTTAACTCTCTACAGTGGAATCATAGAATTTCACAGACAGAATTGCCACACATAGTTCATCAGGACAAAAATGACCAGCAAGTTATGAGTTTTCAAACGACACTGCACAAGGCTTACCTGTACAAAGATCACTACAATAGTGTCTGGGCGGGGGGGGGAGGGAGGGGGACATGGGGGACATTCTGTCACAATCACCCCACATGCTAACTTGTCTTCCTTTAGGCCATCCCACTGCTCCCTCGTGGGTCTCCTTGTCTTTTGCCTTCTGATGGACTCTCTTACCCAGCTGGCTGTCAGCGCTGTGCTGTATGTGCCCAGACGTGTCAGCCTGCGCGTCCCTGTTTCTGCGTGTCACACTGAGCGTGTCTCTAACACACACATTCCTCAGGCAGGTTCTCTTGCCTACCCCCCTCGTCCATCCCAACTGCCGCATTTCCCTGGAACAGAACATTTGCTCATGTCGCTTCTTGGTTGCCCGACACTCAGCACCATACATTGCAAGTGGGCAGAGCACCACACTACAGCCTTTCCTTCGAGTCTTACTGGGATCGTCCCTGTTTGCAGGGCTGGGTAGCTGGATTGGTCCAAGGATATTAGAGAGACAAGTGGGGAGGGACTTTTATTGGAGCAACTTCTGGTGGTGAGAGAGACAAGCTTTTGAGCCATACAGAGCTCCCACTCAGAGCTGGAGTGTCACAGCTACGTAGAAGGGGAACACGTTGTTTAGCATAAGCAGTTAAACCATATTGAATAGGGTTACCATCTTTAACAAATTCAAAAAGAGGACCCTCCATGGGGCCCTGGCCCCGCCCATTTCCCACCCCTGTCCCGCCCCAACTCCGCCCCTTCCCTCCCAACCCCACCCTAACTCCGCCCCCTCCTCCCTCCCACTCCCAGCCACAGGGAAAGGGCTGCCGGAGCGCTACCGGCTTCACAGTTTGCCGGGCAGCCCGCAGACCCTGCGCCCCCGGACGGTGCTTCCCCAGCGCAGCTGGAGCCCGGTAGGGGAAGCGCCCAGCTGGGGGTGCAGGGTCTGGAGGCTGCCCGGCAAACCGTGAAGCCGGTAGCGCTCGGGCTTCGGGCACCCCCCTTGCCTCCGGACCCTGCGCCGCCAGAGCCCGGGAGGGGAAGTGCCCGGCCGGCGGCTGGGGTCCGGAGGCAAGGGGGCTGCCTGAAGCCCATAGCGCTCGGGCAGCTCGGCTCTTAAACAGAGCCGAAGAGTCAGGGGAGGAGCAGAGCCGCTGCGGGAGGGGAAGTGCCCGGCCGCTGGGGTCCGGAGGCAAGGGGGCTGCCTGAAGCCCATAGCGCTCGGGCAGCTCGGCTCTTAAACAGAGCCGAAGAGTCAGGGGAGGAGCAGAGCCGCTGCGGGAGGGGAAGTGCCCGGCCGGCATTTTCCCGGACATGTTCGGCTTTTTGGCAATTCCCCCGGACGGGGGTTTGATTGCTGAAAAGCCGGACATGTCCGGGAAAAACCGGACGTATGGTAACCCTACCATATTGTGAGAGACCATTCGGGGTGAAATGGCCTGTTAACACATCTGCAATTCTAGGACAAAAAGAGGAGGTGGGTTTATAGGTAATAAGCCATAAATCTAGTGTCTCTATTCAGTCCATGATTTTCAGAGCAAAAAAACCCCACCATCATTCTGGGCTGTATTAACAGGAGTGTTGTAAGCAAGACACGAGAAGTAATTCTTCTGCTCTACCCCACGCTGATAGAGCTCAGCTGGAGTATTGTGTCCAGTTCTGGGGCCGTGCTTTGGGAAAGATGTGGACAAATTGGAGAGAGTCCAGAGGCAAGCACACAAACGATGACCTACCAGGAGAGATTGACAAAACTGGGTTTGTTTAGCCTGGAGAAGCAAAGACTGAGGGGGGCCTGGTCACAGTTTTCAAGTGCATAAAAGATTGTTATAAAGAGAAGGGCGCTAAATTGTTCTCCTTAGCCACTGAGGATGAGACAAGAAGCAACGGGCTTAAATTGCAGCAAGGGAGATGTAGGCCATGTCTACACTGCCACTTATGTTGGCAAAACCCATGTCGCTCGGGGGTGTGAAAAAATAGCCCCCCGAGCGATGTACGTTATGCTGATCTAAGCGGCATCGGTACGGCTGTGCCACTGTGAGCTCTCTAGTGTAGACATGGCCTTTGGTTGGCCTCGGAAAAACTTCCTACCTCTCAGGCTGGTTAAGCACTGGGATAAATTGCCCAGGGAGGTTGTGGAATCTCCGTCACTGGAGGTGTTTAAGAGCAGGTTGGACACACACCTGCCAGCAGGGCTGGCCCCAGGGCCGGCTCCAGGCACCACCTTAGCAAGCAGGTGCTTGGGGCGGCCAAGGGGAAGGGGGTCGTGTCGGGCTCTTTGGTGGCGGGTCCCTCTCGGAGGGAAGGACCGGTCGCCGAATTGCCGCCGAAGAAGAAAGCGGCGCGGTGGAGCTGCAGCCGGTCACTATCGCGACTTTTCTTTTTTTTCCGCTTGGGGCGGCAAAAACCCTGGCGCCGGCCCTGGCTGGGCCTAGACCAAATGGTGCCCCCCCGTCCAGCGGTTAAACTTTTCAATACCTTCTTTTTTTATTGCATTTGTTGCCCATTTCACGACTTTGATGCATGATTTACATTCATGATTGATCCCTGTCACAGAAGATGATAAATTTGCACGCTAGGCTCTGTAAATCTGTATTTATTCATGCCATATATAAGCAAATAAAAAAAAATCTTTTCCTCCAAGCTTATAGAAACGTTTAAATGTTAAGAATAACTTGAAATGTGTTAACATCAATACCTGAAACAGTTTACTTCAAACATTCCGTTTCCCCTTTTGTCGCTAACAACAAAAACAGCGCCCCCCCCCCCCCGAGCCCAGCGCCTCCCGCAAGCCCGGCACCCCAGGCTTTCATCTGGGTCAGCTGCCCCTAAAGCCAGCCCTGGTCTAGATAATACGGAGTCCTGCCTCGGTGCAGGGGACTGGACTAGCCGACCTAGCGAGGTCCCTGCCAGCCCCACACGTCTGTGATTCTCTGATTTATGACTTATTCCAACAATCTGAAGCTCCTTTTCTGTCTACGACTGCAGAGGTGTTAACAGGCCACTTGACCTTGCAGAGTCTCTCACAATATGTGTTAAGTTTGTGTGCGAAACAATCTGGTCCCACTTGTATTTAGCTGTGACACTCCCTGACTGATCCCCGGCTCCTTCTCTGCGGTACCCCCTCCTCCGCAGTCATTGCCCGGCGTGTGTGTGCGCGACTGATCCCTCCTTCCTAACTGCAGCACTTGGCATTTGTCTTTATGGAGTTCCCTCCAGAGGCTTTAGTAGGACCATGATTTTAGTGGCTAATAGTGTGAGGGGCTGAAGGGCCAGGCTTGGCGTTTGAAGGGTTGTGCTGGTTTTCCTTGAGGAAAGGGACAGCGCTTGGGTATGGAGAACTCAGCTAGGAAGAGCTCGGTGTAGCTGAAAGCTCGTCTCTCTCACCAGCAGAAGTTGGTCCAATAAAAGATCTGATCTCACCCCGCGCGAGGCCTTTCTGGTATCTTCCAGCCACTTCTCTGTCCCCATGTGTGGCAGGCAGTGAGCGGGTCGCAGGGTTGAAATGACACCCTGCTCTGTGATCGCTGTGCGTACGCTGACCCCGACTCTCCAGCACGGCTTTTCGGGACGATCTTTCTCCTCGCCTCCTCCGGGCTGCTGGCTGATCTCCTCACGGAGTCCCTGGCTGGGTGCGCGGGCACCGCCCCGAATGAAGTCAGGCAGGGCTCCGGTGCAGGGCGGCTCCCCTCAGGGCACACGCTCCCCAGGGCAAGACGCCTCCTGGGCGTCGCTGCTTCCTGGGTCTGACCTCGGAGCGTTCAGCCCCCTGTTCACCCCACCCCGGGAGCTCCCTGCAGCAAGTGCTCCTGGATCGGACACCCGGGGAAGCCTCACGCGCCCCCCACGGGCCCTGCCCCCCACTCCGCAGCCAGCAGTGACTCTCGGCCAGCGTGGGACACAGACGGGTTATTAGTCGTCGCTCGGGAGCACAGCGTAGAACACAGCACAGAAATTGGGGACATTCACAAAAGTCCATCTGGGGGGATCCCCCCGGAGTCCCAAACCAAGAGCCTGACTCGCTCCCAGCAGCCCAGCCTCAGACACTCCTGTCAC